CCTTCCACTTTCGAAGCTTGAAGAGCTGAAAAAGTGGGAATTCGCAGCCGAATTCCATCGAAATCAGCTGATTCGCCGTCACCGAGCCGCAGCCGCTGTCGCGTCACAGTGCAGCGCGGCTCAGCCGCCCCGACAGTCCGCAATGATGAGGACTGTAAATGCATCTCGCATCTCAGAGGGGATTAGTCAGTGGCTAAGACTTTATCTCACATCCATGAATTTGAGGAGGAAAAGGCCAATTCTTCTGTTTTCCGGGCACACAATGACGGATGCAAAGTTGGCAGCTGAGGAGGCTATCCCAGTAGGGTAAATAAGGCCACTCCCATTTCTCTCGTCCGAGTTTCTCTGAGAAATAGCGTTTGCTGGTAGCCTCCTCTGAACAGTTGTCGGCACTGTTCACAGTCTGTGATTTTGGATAGTCAGCGGAAAGAAATCGGTACTCGGCTGCCTCCACACAACTGGAAAATTGGAGAATCGTAGATTCGACTGATCTCAACAAATCTCGCGCTTCGTTTGCGCGATTCTCTGGTTTCCCCGGTGGACCATGTTCGCCCATTCCGCGGCTCTGATGCACGCTATCATAGCTTTGAAAACCGTAGACGAGCAGGAAAGAGCGTGCTGTAGTCCTGCTCACTGCCGTCTTCCCCTCAATCATCTTTGTCGCACTATTGGGGTGGGGGAGGGCGAGGCACACAAGCTGTAGGAAGCTTTGCCTGTTACAGTCCACAGTTCTACCGTTTGTTACTTACAAGAAACATGCTTGTTATCTGACACAACTTCGTTCGGAAGACAGCATCCCGGAACGCTTGCACAGCTAGTTCCAAGCCGATTAGTACGTCAACTCAACCGCACCCTGATAAAGTCACTCACTACACCCACGCACATGAAACGAGACCTGAAGTGAAGGCTGTTTCTGGTTGCTGAGCCGCCTTCAACAAGTCGTGCTCTCTCATTCTTTATGGAGAATAATGAAAAAATTCATCCAAAAATAAGAGCGAGTCAGACCATTGTGCGTTTAAATCACCTTTTAGAGCAGAAGGGGACGTTTCCAAGAATGTCCAGTGACCGCTGGGAGATCCCGCAGAGAGAGAGAGAGAGAGAGAGAAGGCAGAGAGAGAGAGAGAGAGAGAGAGAGAGAGAATTTCAGGACGTATGCACGGGAGAAGACAGCTGGCACGAGACCCGCAGGAGGTACCTGGGAACGCCCTCTTGTGCCCTCCGACGTTTGAAGGCATAGGACACGATAATTTGGTACTTGGTCTAAAATGCTAGCAGGGTGCTATATAGTGGGGAAAATGGCGAAAAACGAAGTGAAACGGTCAAAACCTGCGAAGAAAAGCCTTCGTTCTTATGACTCAAAAGCAATTTCGGACGAGTTTCCCGTAGGCATCTTGCCAATAACCGCTACGGTAGGTACGGCTGCACGTATGTACTCATATATCCATGCAGCACCGCGGCCGCTTCAATCCCTTCGCTTCATATTTTACTTCGCAAATGAAGCAATACGAGCATCAGGTACGGTCGTCCATTTGTGGGCGGGCGGGCGTGGTGGGCGTTCGGGTCGGTATGTTGCAGCTTGATAGGACCTTATAAGGGTACCTTATAAGGGTACCTTCTTGGGAAAGGCGCTATGCAGCGCCTGCTCAGGGTCGCGGAATTCCGTCCTGCCAGGCGTATTAATCCTACTACTCTTATATTTTTACAGTAGTGCAACTGCATGGCGCATTCTGACCAACAGTATTCCCTCTGTCCCACAAAAAAAAAACGGTACCAATGGCCTCGAGAACAGGATGTACTTCAGTAACACGAACGGCGAGAGCAGCGAGAGAAGGGCTGCAAATGGGTCACGTGCGCGGCATTCGCACCAGGATTCAAGAGGCAAGCTGCACTGTACCAAGCCAAATGACTGGGAAGAGTAAGTGACTTGCGCGCGACGCCGCACCTCGGACGTCCTGAACTATGCCCGACCATGTTTCTTATAGCACGTATAACAAACGCCCTTCTTTTATCAGCGAAGGCGTTGTTTTTTCAGAAAGAAGCACGCATACAGTAATGGTTGCCCTTGATATTTTTAGCGCGAGCTATTCTTGGCCTCCAACAGATACAAGATGATCGAATTTATTATATTTTGCACTCGTTTAAACCTCGTATAATAACAATAATTTAAAAACGAGAAAATAACGACAAAAACCTCCAGCTCAATACAATACATTTTAATTTCGAAGTACTACGGTAGCACCGTCCTAACACATACAGTACTTCATCTTGGGACCCGTGACCGACAGCATTAGCTCAGGAAAGCTATAATAATATATATCTAAAAAGCAACATGGAGGTGAAAAAGTGGAAGTGACGAAGAGGTCACGTGGTCGCTGAAATGGCATGAGATCGTGGGCGATTTGGAGAGACGCAGAGAAAGAGAGAAAGATGGGGCGAGCGCATGCGACGCGGCAGGAGCGATACGGTATGTCATAGCCGCTGGGAACGGCGGAACGGTGTTCCATTCGTTCTACCACCGCGTGCGTGCTATCAGTAGCGGCTAGGCAAGAGACGAAAACAAAGGGCAACAGCAGCAGCAGCAGTGGCCAGGCGATCG